AATCCACTCAAAAGGAATAATGACGCTGCAGTCATGGGGAGACACTTCATCACTAGAAGCAGGCAACTTAGCTCCAATCGCATTCGTTTTCACCTCACTCCTACTGTCCTACCGTCTCCTTTGTCTCATTCGAGGCCGTCATTTGGAATAAGCGATTTTACGGGTTTCGCACACTTCAGGACTGGATGAGACGCCGATAACAAGTGTGTCACTTGCCATTCTCAACTAGAGGCGACATTTCTCCTGAAGAGGATTCTCCTAGCAAATGACATCATTTAACTTCTCTTACGAGCGCTGATATTCCGCTCCTCTTCCTTCACATCGCCTTATTTCTTAGTTGCCCACACATTGTGTCACTTCGGTTATCAACTGCCCTGTAGTGCAAACATGAGGATGGAGTGATCGCTAGGAAGATATGCACCTTCTGTGACTCTTTTGCTTCGAGCCACTGGTGCTTAGTGCCATCAAGCCCAAGGAAACAGGAGTGGGGTTAGCTCCCCTCTGTCTGTGTGATTAAACCGTCGCTGTGTAAAACCCGACTGTCTGGCCTCCGTGGCAGTAGCTTGGAGTGAAGTTCAAAATGAAGAGTTTGAAAGGGTAAAACTCTTGTCAAGTAGGCACATGGCAGTGGAGGTATCTACAGCCCCAGATAGCATCTCCTGTTTTAACTTTTCGAAAGAGCTAATGAGGGTGCTGATTAATCCAGCATTCTGAATAGAACGTCCATTTGGGCTTTCGTTGAAGTCTTCTCATAGACCAATAAAATGTGAAGACGAGAGAGGTCGAGAGTAGTTAAGACTAAAATTATTCACGACTCACCGCCCCAGTCCGCAGACGCAGTGCCTCGGTTCAGCATAGGTTGTTGGCATTGAAGATCTCGCTCTCCCAACATCTCACGGCTTAACGAAGCCGGTAGGAGCAACGACTGCGTCTATGCTCATGCAAACACAAATAAACAAAATTTATGGGCAATATCACATTAAGGCCAAAATGGCTTACCATAGCGCCATTTCCTTTTTCACCCTTGGGACATTACCCAGCCTAGAAGTGATACGCTCACTGCTAATGATTGTTCAAAGTGTAATCCAAATTCACTTTTTCCAACTCCTTTCTTGTGTGTCCCTTTGAAAAACAATATCGTGCATGAAAATGTTTTCTATTCCCACTAACTATCATTTCATTCCATAGAGTTGGAAAAAATTTTAGTGCCATTCATGAAAAGAGATGCCTAAGTAGATTATCTTTGTTAATTCAGGATGGCAATTACCAGGATATATTAACAGTAGTAGCACGTCATCGCCACTTTTACGTCCTTCTGCTGTTGCCTCATTCATTTCTAATCTAACTGCTGCTTGTTCTACTGTCGTCTACGTGTGATCACCTCCTCGGTGGTGCGGGGTTCCACCCAACCGGATGACCTGAGATGCACAAATCCATACGTGCGAAAGTAGACGCAACTCCACAGATCAGTAGAATTTGGAATGTTGCAAGGATTAGGCGACTAAAAAGTCGGTGTAATTTTCAGTCCCTTCTTGTAAATTGTAGGGTGCTGAAAATGAATGGAATCGTTCTAGTGTGTACAAAAAACAGATGCCTGCCTCGATTAATGTTGGAAGAACTGGCTGACAGTTAGCTGAATTGGGCGACGAACGGTGTGGTGGAGGCGAACCATCTATGTCGCCAGCATAAAAACTCCCGTTAACTGCTGACGGAAGGCCGGTCCCCCCGCAACATGTTCATTTTTGGAGCAAAAAAATGTGCTTCCCTGTAATTGTTTTTGACAGCTAAATAGATTCTTGCAAGTTTACAATTTGTCAACCTTTCCCCAACAGATTAATCATTCCAGCGGTCAGCATGGTAAATTACAACAATTGCCTCTTCATTGAAACCTGCCATCTGCCAACCGTTGCGCAATGCTTGGCGATTCAGTTCAAGGAAATTTGGCTCTTCTCGAAATTTACCACTCTTCTTCCTTCCCATTGAATGCAGTCGCCAAAGAGTTGTTTCAACATCGCCTACGGTGAGCATGCCTTATGATGCAATACAGTCGTTGACATGCAACTCTCGAGCTGGCGCAGCACTGGTGACACGTAAATCGCCGTGATCAAGTGAAGGAGGTCTCAACAATAATCAAAACTGTTTGAGTGATTGGTGGTACTAAATAGAGGTTAAAATAGAATGTGATGCACCCCTCCTTAAAAAAACCATATCAGTGGGTAAGAAAGTTGATTTAGCAACGCCATGAAAGGCTGATTGGCCACAACCATGTGTGAGATGCCATTAAAGGGAGAGTGCTTTCAGAACTATGGAGACTAAATGACCTGTGCTGTGACACAGACACGTATCTTAACTTTATGGCATGTAGTAGATGAGCAAACGATAAATTGCGATGCCTGTTCACTTAACAATGCATCTCCACCAAAATAAAATGTCATAGGCACTGAATCGGATTAAATAACCTAGAAAATATGCCATCATTTTAGCGCAGAGCTTTCACTGTTGTCTTAATGTTACAGAAACTGACCATTTTCAACCTTTTTTCTATTCAGCCACGTGCGTCACACATGTGTGACGTAGAAGAGAAGATTAGAAAATAGATTATAAACCGAATTTCCTTTGTGATCTGAAGTATGTAGGCACCATAAAAGCCAATCAAGGTAAAGTAATCAGGGAATTAGGCCCAAAGCCTTGTCTTTGGCAGTAAATAACTTAACTCTGGCCACATCCACTTAATTTCAGGCTTATTTCCTAACTGGTTCATCCTTTCCCTCTTCTTCTATCTCTTCCTTTGTCCTCCCATTTGTGTGACTAATTTCAGCATCGGTAGGAAACGCAAATTCTTGCATTGGGTAATCTGGCAAAAAAACCCAGCGCTAAACGGGAAACAGCAAGAGGCCATAAAAGGGTAGGAATGTGTTGGCGCAAAAAAATAATGCAGCTGCAGGCGAATTTATAGCAGCTCTGCGAGCAGGTTAAAGTCATCTCTAGAGAGTTGAGTTTAATCAACTCGAGTGACCACGTATAACAAGTTAAGGAAAGTAATCGTTGCATTACAAAAAGTGGCTGCTATTTTTAAAAATGGGGAATATATCAAACAGAGTATTTAAAAAAGTTGCTACTTTACAGTTACTTGACTTGCACTGTCTGGTAAACAAAGTGCCTCCATGCCCCACATCCGTCAGAGTACGGTGTGGCTCGACATTGAAACGGTTACATGGCCAATGGCACAGTTACCTGTCAATGACGAGAAGACAGTAAATCGCTGGGATGGGGTTTGGACTCTGGATCTGCAATGTGATTGGACAGCTGTTTGGCTCTGTCATGGTTTAGAGCCTTTATGCCCACCATTTCTCCTTCCCTTCATCCTTCCTCTACCCATCCCTCCTTCACCACCTCCCGTGTATTAGCATACAACATGACACTTAACATGCCCCCTTCACCTTTACTCAATCATCATGTAAAATGGACAAGTTAAAAAGACATCTGGGTCACTTTTCAGGGTCCCATTTGATCCCTTAGTGATCAGAAAGAGATTAAAGTATTTTGACAAATACCACACACAATTGCCAGGACGATTCAATTCACCTAGAAGCGTTGCGTCCTAGAGGGAATATCCACGTAGTCCTGTTTAAGGCTAAAAAATTTGGAGATGTCATCTTGCTTCTGGCTATGCTGCAAACACCTTCCAGTTGGTGTCACAACTCGAAACATTGCAACCAGCAGAAGCAACAAAGAAGAGGTAGATGCGATGACAATATAGGCAGGCACTGGATTTCCGTTATGGTGTTATGGTGCATAGAAGTTGACGGGGTTTATGCACCAATCCATTCGTCAATCAAATCTAGGTCCAGTCACCTTTGATCTATCTCTCCTTCAGCCATCTCTCTCTCCAATCCAACTATTTATCCACCCAACATTTGGGTCATTAATCTGCACCCATCTATCCATCCATTATTCAATCCATCAAGGCATTAATGATTCACCCATCCATTCGTCATTGGTCAGTTTACTAATAATTGGCTAGCATCTCTTCCACCTTTTCGTCTTTCATTCACCCATCTGTCTACGTCTTACAAGCAACCGTCTGACAGTACCTTCCCAAATCATCCGTGTGTCTGGCATCCATTCACTCGCCCTACTCATCTGTCAATCATGCGCCATTAACCACCACAGCAACGACGGCCCCTGTGTCAGTTGGTTGGATTTAAACAGACCATCTGCAAGGCAGAAACGGAGACTAAACACAACGGATAGATAGGAAGGTGTGGAAATTTCCCGATTTCTTTGTAGCAGTAGATGTGGATCACCTAGTTCGCCGTAGGGCACAAATTGCGGCAGAGGAGAAAACCACTTTGGTAGTACTGCTAGAAACGCATCTCATTAGAGGGCATGTTAACTGGGTAAACTCGTTCAAATACATCAAATTAATTCAAAATTTTGTCAGTTTGCTTCATATTTTCCCCCATTAGATCAACAAATCAAATTTTTTTTTTCATTGTGTGGCCATCGAAGTAGGTGATATGACACGAAGTCCAACGGCGAGTTTAGTTTTGTATCACCGGAGGACTGGAAGAGAGTTATCTAAAGTAGAAGTGGACAGAAGGGATATTTGTGTAAGATAATTTTTCGTTGCCGAGAGAAGGAAGTAAACCAGACATAAATAAGTGCTGGTAGTGTTGTGTGTACTTTTGTTGTAGACATGACATTGTCGCCAATACGACACACCTTGCGACTTATTCTTCATCCTCAATGGTCTTCGATAAACAAAACGACAAAAACGCCTTTATTCAAATAAGCAAATAACGATTGACCTGTAAATACAAAGTTGAAAAGGAAAAAAGAAAGCTATCACATTGGGACCTCATGATGAAGGACTATACATCTTAAAAGACATCATTCTGCCCTACAATTTGTTTCTCTTTCCTGAAAAGTTAGGTAATACCTCGCTTCCTTCCTCTTTCTCTGCCTTTTTCCTCTGTCAGAAGATTCTACTTACCACTTAAACAACGTAACTGGTGAAATAAAGGAGGAGATTTTGTTAGCTTAAATTGTCCACAGTGCGGTTAAATGACTTTCAGTTGACAGGCCTCCAGTGCGTCAATCCACTAATCACAACACCCGTCTTGCAGTGCCTGTGGATGGTGGTTGTCAAACCGGAATGGCGTGAATTGTCCACCTTAATAATTTTTCAATCTCCTCCTGCATTTCACGCTTCAACAATTTCCATGGATTCCACATTTACCGTCAATCTCGGATTGCATTCAGTTAAAAAATAAGATGCACAGCATTTTCTCAAGCCTCCTTTAACAATGTTTTGCCATTTTGGAGCTTATTTGGTTTTTCAGAGAGGCGATTTACTTACAAGCGCCGTCATGGCATGGAAATTGTTGTAGACTCAGTGGGAAAAGCAATAAATGGAAGGCGAATAGGCCTTTTATTGATGGTATGCATAGAAATGGAAAAATGGGAGAATATAGTTGCAGAAAAGTCAGAAAAAGTCTTGATTTCGTCTTATTCCAACCACACAGCACACCTGCCGTGGAGTAGCTTGAATGAGCCCCTACCTTCCAAAGTGGCTGCTTGTCAAATTGCCAAGAGAGGGAGAAAAGGCGTGGAAATTGTTCTTGGTAAGGCTTTTTCAGCATACCTTCCAATTCTCTAGGTGATAGCACCAACCGACTCACCCACCGCAGCGCCTTTCGTATCGTCGACGATGTCGTGTCTGGACCAGGAGTGGGCGCAACTCAGGTAGACTGGCGTCAGGAGCAGCATTTGTTGTAAAGCATCAAATTCTTGACTGCGTGAATAAGCATCCACTTATCAGGGAATTGGCAAACGCGTCAGAGGTGTGGCTAGTGAAGCAGGCCTCTTTAAACGGGTTCTAGCGGAAGAAAACTGCTCCTTAGAACACACTTTTTGAGTGGTTACAATACATTGTTAGGATGCGATAGTGTGTTTAGGTCTATTGAGTGCGAGGAGAGTCTGCAACTTGACGATGCTTCACCCCAAGATCCTCACCCTCCTGCTCAGAGCGTTTCATCCGTGAAAAAATTGACTCTCTGTTAGGGATCCCACGATGGGGAGCAATCATCGGAAAGTAAGCCAATTGGACTGACTTCAGTCGCAGCTAAACGCCCACCTCATATAGTATGATGAAGACAACAACCTTGGCGTCATCCAGGGAAAGCCGACCTACGTGGCATTGTGGTGTAGTCCATTCCGTTTAAAAAGAAGCCTTTTCCGAAATAGAACTGGCTAAGAAACCACTTAAACCATCTGATACTATTGCCACAATATTTGCACTTTCCATGGGGCAAGTATTCTAGCTTTCATTGCTTTGGTAGGTGATTTCGGGAAGCTTAAAAGGAAGCATCGTCATTTATGAAAACCATTTTTCTTTTCTTATTTGGTAATGTCAATTCAGTTATGGATATCCTTCATCAATGCAAATTGTAGTCAGGATTGAAGGAGTAAACGGACCACCAAAAACCACCCAGAGGTTGCTGACGTTTGCACCGTCGAAATGATCGTTTCAAGCACTGTCCATCTATCCATCCATTAAATGACCATAAAAGCGGCAATTACCCTAACAGCTAGAAACATCAGCTCAAATCCATTTCTGCTGTTGACACAAGGCTTAATGCAATCATTTTGATCTATAACCAATAGACAAATTCACATGTCGCACATGTGTGACGCGTAAAATTAAGCTAGGATCATGCAATAGGTGTGTAGCACGCACATCAAGTTGCACCATGAACATTTGTCGTTTTCATGATGTGTTTTGCTCATCCCTTATACCCAGATTCCATTGTTCTTTCCTTGTCACCCATTGCCC